ACAGATTTAAAATAATTCTGGTATAATATATGAAAATTTAACTATAAATTGGTCAGTAATCAAAATCGAAGCCCCTGTGTAATTGTCTCAGCCCAGAACAAACGGTTATGGAAAATTATGTTGTGCTATTTTTTTCAGAATGTTTGAACACAGGAGAGGCGGACCAATATAAACATTGACACTTCTAGTGAGTGAGAACACTTGGCTGTACAGTCAGCTGAAACCTGTGATATAGTATAGGATTTTTTTTTATATTTTTTAGATATATGTAATAAACGTTAGGTGTGTTCCTTAACATGTCAAGGTTGACATTGATGGGGAGTGGTCAGTACACGGATGTGAACTTGATAGTTCCGTAGTACGCTCCCGGATGACTGAAAGTTCAGTCTGAAGTTATAACTTTAATGTTTATTTTGAGCACGGTGTGGCCGGCTCTAGAGGACACATGGACTTGGCTAGTGAAGAGCCAAGAGAGTTTAATAGCTAGTTTTTGATGGTAGAGTAGGGACATGTTATTTAGCTATGTCAGTAAGGATAGGATGTATGTTTCCTGATATTAGAGGATTGCTGTCAGTTGACAGCTGAGAAATTTATGAAATATGAACATGTTCATTATGATGTTGGACTATTATTTGTCAAATTTTATTAGTTAGGTTAGCTTTTGTTTGTGGCATGAGTTGAATTGTGGGTTTGGATACTAAACCTCGTGAATTTTAACAAATTAACAAGGTTTACTAAGTGCTTGTGCGGGGGGGTTGTAACAAACTAGGCTGTTGTAAGAATTATCCAGAGTGGTTTATCGACAAAAGAGAATGGGAAGCTGAGCCGCATGGTGACCTGACCCCCAGGGGAATTCGCGGTGGAAATAACCAACGCTTTGTTCATAGCTGCGTATAATAAATCATCCTATAGTATTCAGTAATTTAGAGAAATTAGCCTTTATTCATTTTGCATTAAAATTGTATTGTATAATAGTACTGGATACAATATCAAGAGTATTCTAATTATTGAGTTTAAGTCACCATCAGTGACGTCACGAATCAGATCTAACTTTTAAAGCGGAGTGACCGGCGGTCATAGGTCATCAGGGGTTGACAGGTCTACTATTTCTCAAAGTTTTAATAACCATTTTTGTGATCGGGAACAGCTCTGCCGTTAGATGTTTGTAATTTAATTCAGTAAAATAATTCAACCAGTCTGGATCAATTAAGTACAACAGAGGTTAATTGTTATAACTTAAACCCCTACAAAACAACAAGTTGCCACACACTTTCCCTACACAGCAACAAGTTGCCACACACCTTCCCTACACAGCAACAAGTTGCCACACACACCATCCCTACACAGCAACAAGTTGCCACACACTTTCCCTACACAGCAACAAGTTGCCACACACACCATCCCTACACAGCAACAAGTTGCCACACATCTTCCCTACACAGCAACAAGTTGCCACACACACCATCCCTACACAGCAACAAGTTGCCACACACCTTCCCTACACAACAACAAGTTGCCACACACTTTCCCTACACAGCAACAAGTTGCCACACATCTTCCCTACACAGCAACAAGTTGCCACACACACCATCCCTACACAGCAACAAGTTGCCACACACACCATCCCTACACTACAACAAGTTGCCACACACCTTCCCTACACAGCAAAAAGTTGCCACACACTTTCCCTACACAGCAACAAGTTGCCACACACCTTCCCTCCCTTCACAACAACAAGTTGCCACACACTTTCCCTACACAGCAACAAGTTGCCACACACTTTCCCTACACAGCAACAAGTTGCCACACACTTTCCCTACACAGCAACAAGTTGCCACACACCTTCCCTACACAACAACAAGTTGCCACACACCATCCCTACACAACAACAAGTTGCCACACACCTTCCCTACACAGCAACAAGTTGCCACACACCATCCCTACACAGCAACAAGTTGCCACACACCATCCCTACACAACAACAAGTTGCCACACACACCATCCCTACACAGCAACAAATTGCCACACATCTTCCCTACACAACAACAAGTTGCCACACACCATCCCTACACAGCAACAAGTTGCCACGCACCTTCCCTACACAGCAACAAGTTGCCACACACCATCCCTACACAGCAACAAGTTGCCACACACCATCCCTACACAACAACAAGTTGCCACACACCATCCCTACACAGCAACAAGTTGCCACACACCATCCCTACACAGCAAAAAGTTGCCACACACACCATCCCTACACAGCAACAAGTTGCCACACACCATCCCTACACAACAAGAAGTTGCCACACACCATCCCTACACAGCAACAAGTTGCCACACACCATCCCTACACAGCAACAAGTTGCCACACACCATCCCTACACAGCAACAAGTTGCCACACACCATCCCTACACAGCAACAAGTTGCCACACACCTTCCCTACACAGCAACAAGTTGCCACACACCTTCCCTACACAACAACAAGTTGCCACCTTCCCTACACAGCAACACGTTGCCACACACCTTCCCTACACAAGCAACAAGTTGCCACACACCATCCCTACACAGCAACAAGTTCCCTACACACACACACCATCCCTACACAGCAACAAGTTCCCTACACAACACAAGTTGCCACACCAGCAACAAGTTGCCACACACCTTCCCTACACAACAACAAGTTCCCTACACAACAACAAGTTGCCACACACCTTCCCTACACAGCAACAAGTTGCCACACACACCATCCCTACACAACAACAAGTTGCCACACACCTTCCCTACACAACAACAAGTTGCCACACACCATCCCTACACAGCAACAAGTTGCCACACACCTTCCCTACACAGCAACAAGTTGCCACACACCATCCCTACACAACAACAAGTTGCCACACACCTTCCCTACACAACAACAAGTTGCCACACACCATCCCTACACAACAAGAAGTTGCCACACAACAAGCAACAAGTTGCCACACACCTTCCCTACACAACAACAAGTTGCCACACACCATCCCTACACAACAAGAAGTTGCCACACACCTTCCCTACACAACAAGAAGTTGCCACACACCATCCCTACACAACAAGAAGTTGCCACACACCTTCCCTACACAGCAACAAGTTGCCACACACACCATCCCTACACAGCAACAAGTTGCCACACACACCATCCCTACACAACAACAAGTTGCCACACACCATCCCTACACAGCAACAAGTTGCCACACACACCATCCCTACACAACAACAAGTTGCCACACACCTTCCCTACACAACAACAAGTTGCCACACACCATCCCTACAAAACAACACGTTGCCACACACCATCCCTACACAACAACACGTTGCCACACACCATCCCTACACAACAACACGTTGCCACACACCTTCCCTAGTTGCCACACACCTTCCCTACACAACAAGAAGTTGCCACACAACAAGAAGTTGCCACACACCTTCCCTACACAACAACAAGTTGCCACACACCTTCCCTACACAACAACAAGTTGCCACACACCTTCCCTACACAACAACAAGTTGCCACACACCTTCCCTACACAACAACAAGTTGCCACACACCTTCCCTACACAACGACACGTTGCCACACACCTTCCCTACACAACAACACGTTGCCACACACCATCCCTACACAACAACACGTTGCCACACACCTTCCCTACACAACAACACGTTGCCACACACCATCCCTACACAACAACACGTTGCCACACACCTTCCCTACACAACAACAAGTTGCCACACACCTTCCCTACACAGCAACAAGTTGCCACACACCATCCCTACACAACAAGAAGTTGCCACACACCATCCCTACACAACAACAAGTTGCCACACACCATCCCTACACAGCAACAAGTTGCCACACACCATCCCTACACAGCAACAAGTTGTCACACACCATCCCTACACAGCAACAAGTTGCCACACACCATCCCTACACAACAACAAGTTGCCACACACCATCCCTACACAGCAACAAGTTGCCACACACCTTCCCTACACAGCAACAAGTTGCCACACACCATCCCTACACAACAAGTTGCCACACACCTTCCCTACACAGCAACAAGTTGCCACACACTAACTCAGCACACTTTCTGGTCAATTCGTTGCACATTTAGTATATAATAATTATGTGTATATTAAAGAAGATTTAAAAAAATAAGCTTCAAATAATCCAAGAGAATTTAACCTATTTAACCGATGCTAACCTTCTCAACCTAACCTAACTTAACCTAGGCAGTGTACTGTAACGATCATGTGGGGGTTTTGTACAGCGTTTGGGAATCCTATATGAATATAAAATATTCGGTGCATATTTTAACTATATTTTATTGAATTCTACAATAATTATTATTTAACAAATGCGACGATTTTCCAAATAAAGCAAGAACTGCCCAAACCGCAGTCAATGATGTTGTTCACACTTGGTGCTGATTTTCAGTCAATGTTGTTGGCCAGTCATTTCAGTCAATGTTGTTACCCAGTCTTTTCAGTCTATAATAATCAATTTTCAAACAAAAGGAAACGAGTCACTAATATTGTCTTTCTATCGAGACTTTTCCTATGTTCACCGACACACGGGAGACAACCTCCACTCACACAGTAATAATCATGTCTCCTGGTGGAAACGAATTAACTGTCATCAAGACTTATTGAAATTTATCACCAGATCTGCAGAGGAGCAGATCTGGTAGCTTTAGTGACACACCGACCTAACAGAGCTGAAGTGCACCAGGACTCTTGTCCTGTGCACTCCCAGAGAGAGTACCAAGGGCAGCGACTCTCGATATGGGGGACCTCCCATGGAAGTGACTTCAGTTTCCTTACATACCAGTAGCATGTGTGTAGTGCCTGTATAGTGAATGCTGCATTTAGTATGCAAACTTTGTTCTTGATTTCAGTGTTTCGCCCAAGACACCATAGTCACACATCACCCATATACTTCAAGACTAGCACAAGAGCACTTACCTCGTTGAACATATGGTTTACAATTATTAGATCGAACTCCTTTCTCTTGTCATAAAGTTCTTTCACCACTGGGACTTTGTACAATTCCCTGGCGATGGGTGGCAGAGAGTCCAAGAAGAGCTGAAAGCCACCAGTTGGGTCCTTCCGGGAGTCGAACATGTTAATGTTGTCCTCCCTGAAGTGTGTGAGGCCGTGGGGAACCTCGTGGATGTTGGGATGTTTGGTCGACTTCGGGTGATTGGTCAACATCACAATCTGACCAAAGGATATGGGATTTGAGTTAAGGTCGTGTGAACTTGGTTAAAGTAGTGGTAACTTAAACTCAGTGGTAACTTAATCCCAATTGTCGAGATAACTCGACAATTGGGATTATCCTTTCGTAAGAGATAACTTAATCAAGTCCATTTATCTATCTAAATAGATATATAGACTGCATTTAAAAACGATCTAAATACGGTTTTGAATTGGTAAAAAAATTGGCAACGCTCTAAATAGTTTCAATAGGATCAATTGATTGGGAGCTGCAGTTTAATAGTGACAAATGTAAGGTTTTGAGGGTTGGCAATGAGAGTTACAAGATATAAGCTAGATAGTATTGAGATTGCGAAGTCGGATAACGAAAGGGATCTGGGAGTTATGATTAGTAAGAATTTAAAGTAAAAAAATCAATACGTAAATGTTCGTAATGAGGCAAATAAGACACTGGAGGTTATTACTCGAAGCGATAGTAATAAAACACCTGGTGTTGTTCTTCAGCTGTATCTTGTTCTTATTAAGCCCCATTTAAATTATGCAGTTCAGTTTTGGTCGCCACACTATAGAATGGATATAAATTCACTAGAACGTGTCCAGCGTAGGATGACAAAGTTAATCCCCCAAATTAGAAACCTGTCATATGAAGAAAGATTGACGAAGCCTAAATTACATTCTCTAGAATGGCGAAGAATTAGGAGTGACATGATAGAGGTGTACAAGTGGGGATGAATGGGTATAACAAAGGGGGATTATTAATTGGGTGTTAAAAGTATTAACACAAAATTGAACACAAAACAATAAGTATAAACTGGATAAGTTTAGATTTAGGAAAGACCTGGGTAAATACTGGTTCAGTAAAAGGGTAGTTGATTTGTGGAACCAATTACCACATAATAAAATAGAGGTAAGATCTCTTGATTGTTTCAAGTGTAGGTTGGACATGTATATGAATGAATTTGGGTGAATATAAATAGGAGCTGCCTCGTACGGACCAATAGGCCTTCTGCAGTTACCATGATTCTTATAAACTTATATTCTGAGTATAAACAACATTCATCCAAAGTATTGTTGTAAAATAAGTATTGACCTTTATTTGTGGGCTCATTCAAGTTAACAAGAATCAAAACATTGAAACCTTACTTTGTGTCCACGTATAGCCAGAGCCTCAGCGAGAGGCATGAAGACGTTCCTGTGGCTCTTGGAGGAGACGGGGAGGAGCATGAGGATCTTGTAGGACCTCTCAGGGGGCGCCAACTCCCCCGCGACGATCCCCGCCACAGCCGCCACCAACACACACAGCGGCGCCAACTTCATCTCTGAACTGCGACAGTTAACCTGATTACACATAAAAATATATTTGTGTTTTGCCATTAAAATATATTCCTATGTGAGGTTACATTGATAAATATTTTATACCCTTCTAAAGACTATTCTATATGATTATTTTCGTATCAATAAGTCAGCAAAGTATTTAAAAGTCGGATTAATGATTGTAGTGATAACTCTGATAACAACAGCTGAACTTCTTGTTTGATTATTGTCAGGCTCTCTGAAGGAGATGTTTGGCTTGCCAGTATATTTGCATAGTTGGGCAGGCAATCCCCAAGTGGGTATGTCAAGACATAGACGACATGCCTTAGAAATCAAATGTCATCTATGTCTTAACGAGTCCACTTTGGGACTGTCAGTTCCAACGATCTCAGTATATTGTGAAGACAGTTATTCCGTTTTCCCTATATACTGTATGTATATAGAATATGTCAGATGCAGATCTTTCAATGCATAAACAACGAAGCTCACTCGAAGAAGACATAATCTCCACACACAATCAGATCATCACCAGAGATATCTTGTCCTCTATATTTATATTTATGACACTAATATTTATGAGACAGAAAATAATCGACAGATACAACGACAATATAAGAATAGATATTGACGAAGGACTCATATAAAACAATCTCAACCCACTATTAAGAGCCAACTCGCACTCGTATATTCTACCTTCCTCAACGCCAAGACATCATATTCAGAACACGCTGCCCAGGTCAACATAAGAATTAAGGTAATACAGAAGACCTACTGGTCAGTGCCAAGGACTATCTTCAAAACCGAAAAACTAGTAGACGGTCCCACTTATGCTTACATTGTCGCACTGGAAAAGGATCATCCGGGATCAGATCTTAGAACTAAACCTGACATTAGAGGCAGATATAACATATCCACAGCTAATCCGGATATAATTACAAACCTCAGGAATACAGAAGACCTAGTTGAACTGAAACCAGAGGAAAAATCACCAAAATGATAGTACAACATTTCCCAGTATAAGTTCATGCAAACAGACTCTTAGAATGCCCAAATGTCACAACGTCGGAAAGATATAAGCACAACAATGTAGAAACAAGACAGGTCCTCGTAACAATAAAAGGACCTGGCATCGACTCTCTGAATGTTGAAATCTATGGTCAATTCAGTCTAAGGCAGCACAATCCAGAACTCATGCGCTGTTACAGATGTCAGCGCTTTGGCCACCATAAAGATGGCTGCAGAGGCCCAAAACGATGTGGAGTATGCAGCGAGCTACACAACACCGACATATGTAAGAATCTGCATAAAGAAGGCAAACAAACAAAAGCAAAATGTCCAAACTGCGGGGATACACATCACGCCTGGAACAAACGATGTCCAGAAAGGGTAAAAAGAATACTAGCTTTCGGATCAACCCAGCAACCCAAAGTCACAACTTCTAGACCACAATCGACCAAACCCTCGGTAAAAAGCCAGTGGTACACTCCTCGGCAAGTCCGAATAAATGAAGATCAGCAACAATCTAACGCTCCAAATCCTTCTAGTCTGAGCAAGAACAGGGCCTCCAATAACTGGAGGAAACAAAGAAGCACTACTCTACAAGGCAACAGCAACAGAATAGATCAGGGCAGCAAAACGAATATACCTGTTATTTCCTCCAAGACCTCCCAAGCAGAAATGATGATCCCTACATCATCAAATGCCCCAGTAGCTGGATGTAGCAAAGATGCTTCAACCCAACCAGGAGTCTCCTCACCCACCAAGAAAAAAGTCTCCACTCTCCACTCCAGCCAAGAAGACACAAGCCGTCGGGAAAATCAGCACTGTAGAAACTACCATGGACTCAATGATTCCACTGTAACGGAATAATGGACAATCTCCAAATTATACAATAAAATATTCAAGGATTCAAAAACAAGGCACAAACACTCAGAGCAGTGCTTCTCAAGGACAACTTTGGTATTGTTCTACTTCAAGAAACACTCACCAGGACTGAAAGAAATATCAATATCCCCAGATATCAAGGTTTCCACAGCCCTATGGCACAAGGTGGCACCAGAGGCATTTCAATTATAGAAAGAAATCATATCAATGCCACGGCAATCCCAAACCTGCCAAACTGTGGAGAGAACGTCGACATTATGGGAGTTAATCTCACTATGAAGAACTCAACGCTGTCCATCTTCAATGTATACAAGAGCCATAGAGAACACGACATGGATTTCTCGGCAATCTTTGAAATAGCAGTCACTACACCTACTATCATCGCTGGCGACTTCAACACTCATAGTGAATTACTACTTGATTCACCAAGAACCGACGCCAACGGAAGACATATTGAACACCTTTTGGATGAAGTGCCGGAAACCAGTCTGCTTAATTCGACGGAACCAACCAACACTGGTGGGGGAAAGCTGGATCTCACGTTTGTTTCCACCAGTATTTATGAGTTATGTCATTGGTCAGTTGATCATGTTCTGACCAGTGACCACTTTGCTACAAGGACAGTAATTAATATAGCACTACCTCCCAGACCTCCAGCTCCCGAGCCCGGATGGGTCCTTATCAAAGCAGATTGGACGAAGTTTCAGGAAGCTATCGAAACTTGACACCAAAACTACACTCCTCCTGACTCCTGACACCACCGAAGAAATGGAAAAAGATTTAGTAAATGCAATACATAGAGCAGCAAATCACGCCATCCCCTAGAGGAAAACAATTACCCAACAACATAAGGACCATTGGTATTACTGTGATAGGATCAAAGAGCTACATAACAGACTAAATCGTGCATGAAAGAATTTCAGAAGAGATAGAACCGAAGCTAATCTAGCACTTCTTAGAGCTGTCCGAGATCATGTGCACGAAGAAACAGCAAAAATCAGAGAAGGAAAATGGCTCGAGTGGTGTGCCAAGCTAAATCAGCATACTTCCTTGGGCGACATCTGGAGGCAGATCAACAAGGCCAAAGGAAAATCATCTCCTGTTCCACCTCCGCATCATATTCATCCAGAGCAAGAAGCAGAAAGGTTAGCAAATCTAATTGCTTCAAGAGCCAGTTCAACTCAACTTCCTCAAGCAACTCTGACTCACCAACAAAGACTTCAAGCAGCAAGATGAAAAAAAAAATATGACGCTTTAGCCTTACCTGACGAACTAGACCAACCTTTCAATCTGAAAGAACTCAGAAGTGCTACAAAGAAAACTAAAAACACAGCTCCAGGCGAGGACAAAATCACTCACAACATGCTAGCCAAGCTAGGAGAAAAGGGTGAAGATGCCTTCTTGAATCTCATCAACAGAGTATGGGTGACAAGAACCCGACCACTCTCTTGGAACAGTGCAATTATAGTTCCCATTCGAAAACCTAAAGACCCAGGAAATCCAAGACCCATCTCATTAACAAGCTGTACGGCCAAAACTGCAGAAAGAATGGCCCTTAATCGAATTGAATGGAAAGTAAATCCACTACACCAAAATATGTTTGCTTAGAGAAAAGGTGTTGGAACCACAGAATGCCTTACCTCCCTCCTGGATCAAATCAATGACAAACCTGGAATCCTTATTTTTCTAGACCTAGCAAAAGTCTTCGAGTTACTCAGTGCTCCAGCTACACTTTGCTGCCTTATGGATAAGGAAATCAAAGGACACACTCTTGCCTATGCCAAAGGAAGCCTGCTTAACTGGGAAGCTAAAGTCAAATTCCAAGGAAAAACATCGACCTCAAAGAGGCTGGAAAATGGAACTCCAATGGGAGGAATACTAATACTCTTCAACTGTCTCATGGAACAATTTATGAAGTTCAAGCTACCAAAAGCCAAACTTCTTAACTATGCAGACGACTTTGTGGTCATCATCAGTGGCAAAGGTGCAAGGAACCATGCACAAAAATGCCTAGATATTATCAGCAGGGAAGCGGAACGTATAGCAGTGAAAATAAACAGCAATAAAACAAAAGCAATGGCCGTTAAAATGAGAACTCAAGACATCAGACTGGCAATACAAAGACATGAAATTGAGTGGGTTACCACTTTTCAATACCTAGGAGTCATAACAGACAACCAGTTGAAATTCACTCAAGAAATTGAATATCTTCAGCAACGCTGTAAAGCCAGAAACTCAGCTTTGCACTCCCTGACAAGTCTTAGAGATGGTGCATCTCTACCAGTACTCAAAATGTACTACGTTCAAGCAGTTAGGTCACTCATTGACTATGCTGCTCCTGCTCTTACATCCCTCAGTGATAACCAAAGGGAGAAACTGGAAGTGTCTCAAAATGATGCTCTCAGAACAATGCTGGGAGCATCTATATGGACGCGTAGAGAGAACCTTAGAATGGAAACCAACTTTCCAGCATTAGAAAACAGGATGAAACAAAGGATAGCCACCATAACAGCAAAACTTATTGGAACCACCGCCAGACTGTCAATCAAAGACAGCATACAGAGACCCTTTCAGAAAAACCTTCAATGCAGAACAAGCACATGGATGGATAATCTGGTCAAGGTTCTAGAGAAAGTGGACCTGAAATGGACCATTAAAAACAAAGGGGAAGATAGACCATATAAACACTTTCGGCTGCCTCTTCCATGAGAAGAATCGAGTCTAAAGATAATCATTGAAGGATTACCAGTTAAAAAAACAGCATGTGACCAGCAGAGGCTCAAAGAAGTAATAGAACAACAAATGGAAACCATCTCAAGACTGACAACCACTCACATCTTCACAGATGCTGGAAAGAAAAAGATCAGTGTTAGTTGTAGGCATCAAAGAACAAGAAGGATCCATTAGACAGGAATGGAACAGCAAAGACAGAAAGGCAGTACATGGGATACTGAAGGGGTTACAGATGGAAGGGGCTGAACTAAAGATTGAGAAGGTTTTCAGGTTGGGCTGGTACAACAAGGGCAGAAACCGACTGGTAAAGGTAGTGTTTACAAACGAGACCACCAAGGAGGCTATTCTAGAAAGGAAGAGTCATCTGCAGTATGTGGAGGAATACAAAAAAGTATTCCTGCAGAGGG